TTTAACCGAAGATTAATAATTTAGGCGGAATTAAATTCAAGATTGGTGCCAAATGAGCTTATGAAAAACTAAGATAGTCCGTAAGTATAATCCGTTTTCTTGTAAAATTACCCGTTTAGGTTTTACAGTCTGCAAAGATGCAAAAAAGTCAGTTTTCAACTGTCAATATTTCCAAAACATTTGAAGATAGATATATGACATTATACATGAAATATGTCTAGAATTTTCCGCAGAATTCAGAAATGTCATAATATACATGGGGAGTCATTAAAAAAAACATAACTTTGTGTCACCACTAGTTATTGGGCCACTCAGTATACTGGAAAATAATTTAGGAATCTAGTAGTCAAGTTTTATATTCAGTTTTTTCTCCGATCTTAATTAGTATAGGAGATATGGACCACCGCGCACTTAGTAACTCACCCTGAGGTAGGTACCACTAAAAACTGTTCAGGTAAAAAAATAAATAATTTAATAGTTATTTATGTATCAAGGGAATTATGAGGGTGTTAATACCCGGCAACGTTTGTGTCACGAGGGCCTCTGGCCCGAGGGACACCAATAGGGTACTTGCATGAAAAATTAAATTGAGAATTTCATACATCTGTCAAAACTGGTATTCCAACAATGAAGTGACATGTTTTGATTGTTGATTTGAACCAATCAGATTGCAATTATCTGATAATTTGCACTAGTGCAAATTATCAGATAATTGCATAGTAACTGGTGCGAAAACTAGTGTTTTGACATTTTTTGACAAAAAATTCAAATTTTTGATTTATGAAATTCTCTCATTAAATACAACTCGTGCAATGGAAATATATTTATAATTTTCGACAAATTTGCACTCATGCGTTTTTAACTGAAAAAGGCACTCGTGCACTACGTGCATGAGTGCTCTTTTTCAACTAAAAATGCATTCGGGCAAATTTCCCAAAAATTATCAATAATTTCCATTGCACTAGTTATATTACTATTGAATATTGTTTATTGCAAACTGTAGGAAATCGAAAAAAAATCGATGCGTGTTTTTCTATTTTGTCCAAATATGATTATTTCGGAAGTTATAACAAATATTGAGTTTTATATATATAGATATACTGAGCATGTGCGACGTCACAACTCACAACGTATTATACCTAAGTTATGACGTCGGAAGGACATTTCAAAGCGTTGTATCTCTGTCAATTTTTGACTAACAAGAAAAAGAAAAAACACGTGTTGATTTATTTTTCATGGACTATCGAAATCAGCAATAAAAAAATTTAATGCAAGAAGCCTATTGCCAGTGGGTATTAACACCTGATAATTCCCGTGGTACATAGATAATTTTATATCTTACTGTATTTACTGTATTCTGTCTATTTTTATAAAGGAATAAACCATAAACCAAAATTTCTATTTTTTCTCAAAGTTTTACCTATTCAAGGTAAAAGCGGGAGTTATGAAATCCTTAACTCCCTTGGGAGTTAAGACCCTGTTTATGACTATTGTAACCAAGGTATTATATGGTTATAATAGTACAGTAGGATATAACATAAATTATCTCTCAGTCTCAGTCTTATGATGTATGATGGTCAAATATTTCAAACACTCCTCACATAAAAAAACATCAAAGGCAAAATGAAAGGCACTTCCTCTATTCACATCAGTGAAAAAAAGTACTTATAAGGTTCAACAAACGCTTCAATCATTTTTTATTTTTTTCATTCTGATGCTAATCAACATGTTTTTTATTTGTTTATAGCTCTCACTTGTGGTAAGCATTTCATGCTGCATGATCATGTTGATGATAATCCGAATTCATTCAAACTTAAACCATCAGCATTACCTTCAATTTTTGAGCAAGGAGAATCTTCTAATCCAGCTAAAAAAATGAAACTTGGAATCCCAACTACTTCAAGTCAAAGTACACACATCTCTCTTGGTACTATCTTAAATAGCCCAGAGACGAGAGTTTTTGTTTTGGAAGCGAGCAGCTTTGCGGCCAGACCTGAACCTAGAAAAATTCTACCAAAAGTAGTATGCCAGCCCAGAAAAACTGACACCACAAAGCCAATTGAAACGGATGGTTCCGATATTCTTCTGGCAGAATTCAAAAGGCTACATCATCAAGTTTCTTTAGCGAAGGCGAAAAAACAGATGCTTAGCGGTAAGAACAAGAACCTTTAGTATTAATTTAGATAACATGTAATGTAAATTTTTCAGAAGAATATAATAAAGTTCTTCTTGAAGAAAAAAATTTGCTCAAGGAATTATCGGCAATAGAACTGGAAATGAAAGCATACAAAGACAAAGATAAGTTCTCCCAGGAAGAGTTGGAACTGTTAAGGAAGTGCTATTCGCCATCTCAAATTCGTTATTTGCACGGCAACAAAAAGGCCAAGTGGAGCAAGGACGATCTCGCAATGGGCTTTAATATTACCTGTATGACTTCAACTAATTTTTACAAATATTTACGCGAAGAAATGCAATTTCCTTTACCGGCTGTTTCAAATATTACAAGGGGCATAGAAGATTTTACTGGCACATTGGAAAAAGAGGGTAGAATTGCTGACGCTCACGAAAATGATAATTAAGGTTTTTTTTTAGTTTTCATTCTTAGTTTTAGTATATTTTTGTATCAATAAAGGTCCTATACTATATCTATCTTTCTCTAATTTTCCTTGCTTTCCTATGGTGCGAGCTTACTACTGACCAAGACGGAGTGAAGGTGTGATTATCCTTGCTTTCGGTATTTTGCTCAAAGAGCAGAGCGTGCTGAAGCGGAGCAGTAATCACGTGACCAGAGCTGCTTTCGGGTGCCACCCTTTGAGCGCTCCCGAGTTACTCCGGATACAGTTTGACCCGTTCGAGTGCAAAACGCATGGAGTATGACAGGTGTGAAGTGTTCAGGAGCTTCGCACTCTGAACCCGAAAGCGGCTCAGCGAGCGAACAGGGACTTTATTTTCGAAACCGAGAAACAGCGTTCTCATCTTTGTCATTGTCAGTGTTATGGAAATATGAATACGGACGACGAAGACAGAACCTTCGTTCTCATGAGAACGAATGCTGCTCCCCTGTTTCGAGAATAAAGTCCCTGATCAGTTAAACGCTGTGTCAGTTGATTGGTCATAGCCCCCGAAATTTTAATAAACGAACGCGAATGAGCCTGTACCGAGTAGGGATGCGACATCGAGCACAGATTTCGATGTTGGACATCGATGGTAACATCGATGCAACCGATGTATCGAAGTGAAAACATCGATATTTTACAAACATCGATGTTTTGAGGGTAACATAGAGAAAACATGGAAAATTTCTATTTTAACAGAACGTTTAATAATAAAATGAAAAAAAAAAATTTATTCTTGTTAAGTTAATAAAAACAATCACGTTTCCTACAGTCTAAAGTCTAAACAAAATAGTATGTAGAATAGAATATTCAGGTAAATTTAAGGTTCAAATGTCCCAGTAACTCTTGTCGATACCTTGAAGAAAAAGTAATTTCGACAATAACTTATCCTTTATCCTGTTTCTTTGTTGTGTGACCATTTTTCCAGCTTTGGAAAACAGGCGTTCCGATGAGACTGAGGTGAGATGGCCACAACTACCAAGAATTTGTATGCAATTTTAGTAATTCGCTATGAGACCTGCGTAGCGATTTTCATTTGCAAAACTAGTGCAAGTAAAATTTATCTTTAAACCCTTTTCTTATTGTCGATTTTTTCAGCCAACATCGATGATAACATCGATGTTTTAAAATTTCAACATCGATGTCGAAACATCGGGTATTAAACATCGATGTTTTTCAATAATCGATAAACATCGCACATCCTTAGTACCGAGCACACTTTTTTAATAGCGTTTTCTGTTGGTAAAACTCGTGCTGTCCGAGTTCTGCACTCAACACTGAATCAGTTCACGTTTAGTGCAATCTCAAAAGAACATGAATTTGGCGCGTTTTGTCATTCTTTTAAAATTTATTATTTAACGATCCCTGATCCCTAACCTAACCTAAAGACATTTTCAATGGAATAAAAATTAAAAACGTTTGTGTGTATGAAAAAGTTGAAAACGGAAGTTTTTCCTGTATGTAAAGTACATAATTATGCTGTCTCCCGAGATGTGCAGAAATAATTCCAATGATACCTGCGTTGAAATTAATTTTTATGTCAATTTCAATAAAATTTTGAATTTTTTGTATCTCATTATCCCTGGCAAACATTCAGGCCTATGATGTATTCTGTCCTGTTATTTCAACGTCTGTGTTAAGGCTCAACATCTATTTCTGTCTCTATTTTGATGTTGCTGCTAAAATAACAGAAAATGATACATCATAGGCCTGCGATTGTATATAATATAATAGATCCGATTAAATTTCATTGGTTGAAAACAGTCAGAAACAGTCAGAAAACTAGTTTTAAGTTAAAACTAGTTTTCTGACTGTTTTCAACCAATGAAATTCACTCTGACTGGTTTGTGATTTCTGCAGAAACAGACCTAATAAATCTTCCTCTTCATCGCTGTCGCTCGACGAAGATAAAAAATATAGAATTTTATCAATATCGATATCCATAATTTTTTGGTTTTGTTTATACACAGACTTTTCGGCACTTTACGCCATTTTTGTTGTGCCCTGAGGAGGCAGTGGCCCTGACATTGGCACGAGCTCTCTGACCTCGTGCTGGAAAAGTTGCACGAGGGCAATAATTGATTGCCCTGGTTTTCCAATAGAACATAAAAACCTGCTCGGAAACTACCAACAGAACATAATTTTTGCATGAGTGCAGCACGAGTTTTACCAACAGAAAACGGTATATAAGAATTCAAGTTCGGAAAACCGAAACTCCAGATCATAATACCGAACGCACGGTATAGTCAAGTGTTTCTTCGCTTTCTTTTCGCGTTTCCGATTGGTAGATCTAGTGCGGAACTAGTGCAATTTTTTCTATTTCTATCTTTTTCTTCTACAGGTCGATTAAAAGGATGCAAATACACTCAGTGCGCACTACCAATCGGAAACGCCATTATATTAGACAAAGAAAGAAAACGGATCGATTTCTGTTTTCACGCTTGACACTTGACACTCCGCCCAAATTGAAAATTAGCTACATGCCTTCTTGGCTTGCATGAAGAAAGTTCCTCCAAATTCTAGAATCTAGTGGCAACAAAAAGGCAAGGCAGTTTGTAAGCATTGCATGCAAAAATGGCAAATAAAGTCGAAGAAGTAAGTAACTGAATTAATAATAATACATAATTAATTAAGGTCGATTGTTGTTATAGTTGAAAAAAGACATAGCCGAGATTGAAAACTTGGAAACTCATGCCATAAGACAAAAGGTAAAAGCCATCCTGAGTATTGAGAAAAGGAAGCTTATTTCCGAAGTAATGAGACTGGAAGAGAAGGAAGTTAGCGTTGTGGTGCCTGTAGACCAACCAAAGCTTCCTATCAAAACAACGAACATTCCTTATGAGGTTAAATTAACGAACTATGGTAAGCCCGGTTTTTATTTACAAAATGGAACAAATACATATCTTTGAAAATCCTTTATTCAGTCATCAAATCAAAAAAAGGTTTATTTCCAATGAAAAGATCACAATATGATATGATAATAAAAAATAACAATTTGGGGGCACAGTAGACTTGTCTGTGGGTGCTCCATAGTCATAGTGAATATATTTCTTATGTAAAAATTGTCGAGATCTTACCCACCCTCCCATGCCTTACAACCCTTTCAAAAAGATAAGTTAGTTACAATACGATCCTGCAAGGGAAGATATTTGGATAGAGAGGACCAGGAAAAAGAAGAATATCGTGACGGAAAAATCTCAGAACATTGTTTGATAAAAGCTCGCCACAACTCTTCCAATTAAATAATTTTACTATTTGAATTTACTCAGATATTTTACACATTCTGGCAACTTGGCTTTCTGTTCCATAACCCTGAAATTTGAATAGTATATTAAAGTATAAGTGAATATTAAGTGATATGACATCAGGCCGGGGATTCTAAAATCACGATTCGACATACGACTCGACAACGAGACGATTTTTCCGACGATTCTAGGTTAGAAATCTCATTGGAATTATACCTTTCGACACGACAAGGCCGGTATCGTTATCGAGTCGTGTGTCGAATCGTGATTTTAGAATCTTGGCCCAGGTCTGGAACTCTGTAACGGATAGCGATCAATATCTCTATCTCTAGTGGCGTCCCCTCTCTATTAATTTCGATAAAAGAGAAGAAGACAGCAAGTGCCATAGCGATAGGGATAAAGATCTCTATCCGTTACAGAGTTCCAGCCCAGGGGCCTTATTCTGTAAGGAACGAACTGTTCGATTCGGTAGAATTTCTTCCATTGTGACGTTATTTTCGGTTTGGTTTCCGCGCTAGCAAACCGAAAATGACGTCACAATCGAAGAAATTCTATTGAATCGAACGCTTCGTTATTTACAGAATAAGGCCCCTGGGGCCGGATTACGAACTCTCGATTCGAACCGAAACCGCCATGGATTTCGAACGCATTCTGATGCATTCGCATGGAGTGCGTTCGAAATCCATGGCGGTTTCGGTTCGAATCGAGAGTTTGTAATCCGCCCCCTGGTATACCTTTTTTGTCTGACAAATCAATAATTAAAAAGTTGACATTTAGACTTTACCTTTCTGGGGGTTGTTGATGTTGTCATGGTAACTTTATTAAAACACGCGTTTTTGAATGTTGGATTTAAACACGTTGAGGAGTACTTTAAATAAGGAAAATAGGTTATCAATAAAAAATAGTTAATCAATCAATCAATCAATCAAAATAAGCTTTATTGTCAGAAAATAACATAAGAGTTTCATTGACAAAGCAATACTTAAAGCTAGATTGTACTTAAAATCACAAAATATTACAATAACAACATTCATAATGACAAAATAATCTTTGATAATGAGCACAACCACAGACAAAAAATGCTAAAAACAAAAAATTAAAAATCTTAATCCTAATACAACGACAACACAATAAATCAGGTTAAAAGGAAGTAAAAAATATAAAAAATGTAAAATTATGATTATAGTGCATCGCCAAAATATTCTTCTAGATCATAATAGGCTCTCTCTAACAACATGTATTTAACTTTATTTCTAAATGCTTTATAACTGTCAAGGTTTTTAAAATCATAAGGTAACTTATTATAAACCTTAATGCTCTTATATATCAGGGAATTTTGTGTGAGAGTGAATTTAGGTGTTGGTACTGGAATATTATTAAAATGTCTTGTTGAATAGGGATGCATGTGTGTAGAATCTTTATATTTTTTATGGATAAGGCAGACTGTTTCGAGTATATAAAGACTTGTAAGAGTTAATATTTTTTCTCTTTTAAACAATGGTTTACAGTGTTCTCTCGGGTCTGCTCCACAAACATGTCTTACACAACGTTTCTGAGAAATGAAAACCGAATTCCACAAGTACTGGCTGCAATTACCCCAAAAGGCAATTCCATATCGCAAGTGGGATTCAACCAGAGCATGATATGTGATTTTGGCCATTGATGTTCCTAGCCCACAGAAGGTTTGTCGTACTGCAAAACCTCCCATTGCTATCTTGGTATTCAAGTTCAAGATGTGTTGGTTAAATTTTAAGTTCGTATCTATATGTAATCCGAGAAACTTGGTGCTTTCAATAGAGCCAATCGCCTGATTTGCCATGTCTAAATTATTTAATGAAAATTTAAAGCTAACAACTTTTGTTTTTTCTACATTAAAACAGAAAAAATTTGCATCACACCATTTCTTAATTTGGTGTAAGTCGTCTGAGATAAACTCCTTCAAAACATTCGGGTCTCTATGAAACCAAAGAGGTGCGATGTCATCAGCAAAGCCAGTGAACTTACATTTAACTGGTAGCTCGAACAGGTCATTAACATAAATCAAAAATAAAATAGGTCCAAGGACTGAGCCTTGTGGCACACCTGTATCAATGGGTAAAGACGATGACAAAGAATTGTTATTTTTGACCATTTGTGTCCTTCCTGTCAGGTAAGAATTGAAAAATCTTGACGATACTCCTCTAAAGCCATAAAAGTACATTTTGTCCAGAAGCAAGTCATGTCTGACACAATCGAACGCTTTAGAGAAGTCGCAAAATACAGCAGCTGCAAACTCTTTATCATTCAGTTTGAAGTAAAGCTTCTCGAGAAAAGAAAAAATGGCATCATTGGTGCCTTTAGATGATTGAAAACCGTATTGACATTCGCTAATAAAATTATGACGGTTTAAAAAATCAACGATCCTGTCCTTAACAATTTTTTCGATTATCTTAGACAGCGTATTTAAAAGGGAAATCGGTCTGAAATTGGCTGGGTCAGTATGGGAACCTGCCTTATGTAGTGGGATTACCAAAGCCACTTTTAGAAAATCAGGAAATTCTCCAAATAAAAAACATTTGTTTATAGTTAGAGCCAACACATGCAAAACATTGTCATCAAGATTTTGAAATATTTTGACTGGGATTTCATCGATTCCCGCAGAGTTCTTGTTTTTAATATCTGTTATTATAGCTTTTATTTCATACGCATTTGTTTCAGTCAGTAGAAATGGTTCGCCGATATACGCTTGGTGATTAAGATAAGATAGGGGATTTGCTAGGGGTTCCAAATTATCTGAGAGTCTTTTTGCAACTGTACAATAAAATTGATTAAAAGCGTTTACTTCTATTTCAGCAGGTGGCTTGGCAAGGCTGTTTTTTCCCTTAAGCTCGTTCACAATTGCCCATGCTTCTTTTGCGGTATTTTTAGCGTTATTCATCCTATTTATGCAACAAGTGTGTAAAGTGAACCTTTTTTCACAAATGTGAATTTTGACGCACGAGCCGAAGGCGAGTGCGACAATCACATGAGTGAAAAAAGATGCTTTACGCACGAATTGCATACAAAATTTTTTCTACTACCAATCAAATATGTGTTAAAAATAAATTTAGACAAATACTTTACGCACCAGTGCTTAAAGAATTTTCACTTTACGCTCTGGTGCGTGAAGTAATTTACCAGAGAAATGCCAAATTGTCAGTGTCGACATCTGTCGTTGACATTACTTTACGCACTAGTGTGTGAGGTGAATTACTTTACGCACTTGTGCGTGAACTGAAATTCTACGTCTTCTGAATAGTGCGTAAAGTGAGTACTTTACGCACGGTAGTAGAAAAAAAATATTTTGTCATCAAATGTCATTATTATACGAGGGTCAACCTGTCAAATTTCCATGGCACGCCACTACGCCAATAATAAGTGAAAAGCATATATTAAAAATACCATACATTGATTTGCGACTTGGCTGTGATTACAACACAGTCGCTTTTCCCCAAGAGTGCATGTGATTTGATATCAAAAACTAACTTTTTTCATTGGTTATAAGTAAATCAAGTAATGCTATCTGGGTATTGCGGATTCTTGATGGGAAATTTATTTGTTGGTACCCCCTCTGGTTTTTGTAGCTTTCTAGAAAGGCTTGACTGCACTAATCATTTGGATGGACATCCAGTGTAATCCATTTTATTTCTGGGTAATTGAAGTCTCCCATGATGTAGACTGGTACTTTTAGTGACAATGCATTTTCAATGGTTTTTGTGAGTTGCATGTTTTCTGGTTTTGTAGTTTTTTCTTTAGGCTTGCACACATGCAACTAGAATTTTAATTTTGCCTATCACAATTTCTAACCATATTGATTCAACAGGTTCTGTTGTATTGTATGTTTGAGATATAGTCGCGTGAACATTGAGAAAAGCGCAAATTCCGCCACCAGCTGCTCCTCGGTCTTTACGAAACAGTGAGTAACCCAGGTACATGGATTAAGCTGTCTGGTATCTGCTGAGTTAGCCATGATGAATCATTACTGAAGTAATGAGAATGATGCTCGCATTAGTGCTTTGTATACTAACTTTAAGTTCATCGAGCATGTTGAAGGAAACTTCAAAAATAGTGGTCTGCTTTAGTTTTTTGCGGTTTGGTTGTGGGAGAGAACTATCCTAGGGATGTTATTGAGATACCCGATCTTCAAGGCAACCTCTCCTTTTTGCTTGCGTTCTTCCAATTCTTTTAGGATGTTTTTTAGGTATGCTCTTTGAAGAAGTGTTTGGTCCAATTTATTATAGATTCCTTCCTCTTTAGGGTTGTTTCTGATTATTTCTCGGGCATCAGCTACAGAGGGTAGAATCACACGGACTGGACTTACTTTACCCTGGGACTCTGCACCCAGTCGATAGACTTGAATACCAGTTTGCTGAATATTGTTATTTACTGATTTAATCAGTTTGTATGCTTTTTGTGAGTCAGAATCGGGTTCATTTGGTTGTTGCTTTCTTTCCCTCCAAAGATCACAAAAACAAAGTCACAGTCTCATAATTTATCTAATTAGCTACACGTGTTTCGCTCAATAGAGCATCATCAGGCCTTGAAATACACACCCTTAGAAAACACAATAATTATTTTTTTTTTTTTTCTCACTCGGTCATTTCACAAAGTGTGGTGTGATCCCCTGGTAGGGGTTGATTTTTACATATGGTATTTTGTACTATGACTTCAGTATTGAGTTCTTCAACTAGCCTTTTTAGGTTTGTAGTGTCGGAACCACCTGAGCATAATTTGGTGCGTTTTCATTGATTTGTTTTTTTAGTTCCTTGATTTCCTTTTCCAGATTATCCATTATCTTGTTGATCAATGGCAAGTCCTTGACACTTGCATTGATAGTATCCAGACAGTCTGAGAAAAAGTATTTCAGGGTGTGGCTTGAACATAGTACTCGGATTTCGCTTGATGTAAAGTGATTGCAGCTTTTACATAATATTTTTCTGCATAGGTACAAGCGAACCCAAAAAGCTCCTTAATTTCCTTGCGTTTGAAGGTGTCTATAAGGTAGCACTATTCCTTACAGTTTGAACAAGTCAATGGATTCATGATTTTGGATTATGTTTTTGTTCAACACAATTTTTATGGAAGGATCACACCTAATCAGACCAACTATGAGTTGTTACAATTTTTTTTTTATATACAATCCATGAATCTAAAGGTGCGTACAGACCAGGCCAGCGAATGGGATTTGAGATGGATACCGAATGTTCGTTGACCTTCGAAAAAACCTCCATATTGCATTCGCTGTCTGAGCAAACGTTCGTTGAACACGAAATCGCAAAAATCGTTGCTTCCATGGTCGAATGGATGACGAAGTTATTATTGCTTGTGCTGAATTTATAAATCTCAATGAAGAAGTGAAAAAACCAAAACCAAAGTGCAATCAAAGGTGGTGGACGACGACATTATTCTCGACATTATTTTAAAAAATAAATACCTACAGTGAAAGCTAACTTATGCTCTGGAGATTTAAACTAGACGCTTTCATCGTTAGCTCGTTCGTTCGTTGTATGAATCGTCCACACTGCATTCAGATATTCCTTCTATTTCTTTTGATGTTACCGACACTCTACGGGTTGCGAGCGAACGCCAACGAATCTTCGTTGGTCTTCGCTAAACTGTCTACACTGAACAAGAAATTCTTCGAACCAATCTATTCGTTGGCCTTTGTTGGCCCGGCCTGTAGTACACTACACACCTTAATGGGTGGTATGAATAAAAACGAAGTACATGCTACAAGTATTAGTATATTCTTCGAAGTATTTACTTCACAAAGAAGCATTTATTTTACTAATTTCCGGTAATGTCGAAATGTAGTATCTACTTCGTTTTGGAGTAAATACTTCGTAGAACATACTAATACTTGTAGTAGTAGCAAGTACTTCGTTTTTATTCATACCACCCAATATATTTTCGATTTAGTAGTCAACTAATTCTTGAGCTGGATTCAGAACTGCCATAACGTAAGGCTAACTCTCTACTAGACTAACCTCTGACTGAACCGTAAGTCATAATAGTTATTTATGTATCAAGGGTACTAAGTAGATAATTATGCCCTGAGGGCGACAGTCTTACAAAGCCGAAGGCCTCTGGCCCGAGGGTTCGTAAGTCGCCCGAGGGTATATATCTATTAGTACCCGTGGTGCATACAAACTTTTATGTCATATCAGTTAGTTCTGAATAATAAATACCTGGGAAAAAAGTGTCACTTCGCAAATTGTCATCAGTGTGCAAACATCATCATTTTTTGACAAAAATAATATGTTTATAAGCGTAAATTTATATTTTGTCAATAAAGAATAAGTTAATTGAAAACTGTTTTTTGCGTCTTTATGCCCGCGCGGGCCATAATGTGTACTTTATGCCCGCACGGGCATAAAGTAATGAATTATGTAGATGGTATCTAAGGTATAAAAACACAATAATGTATTGGTATGACATAAAAAAATAAACATATAAATCCTTGATATAAATCAATCTTTTATTTGGGGGACTTACAATAAGGGAGAGTTCGTAATATTATAGACTCGTATAAGATTTTTCGAGGGATTTTCTCCTCGGTTGAAGATCATTAGTTAGCATTTGCTGGTGTTGAGTTCCATCCCATTGAGATCACGCCATTCAGTTAGTCGGACCAAGTCTGATTAGACTTTGTTGCAGTCCATCTCCTGACTTTGAATTTTCAAATAGAATTTTACATCACCCGCAAATAACAGAACAGATGAGAACAGAAAACAGGATGTAATTTCATTTACATGAATATTGAAGAGTAGGGGTCCTAGGTGTAAACATTGCCAACCCAAGGGAACACCTGATGATACTTTTATTTCAGTGGACTGAAAGCTCTGGATTTGTACAATTTGGGTTCTGTCTGTTAGATATGATGTTAGCCATTCTAGGAGCTCAACTAGAATTCTAATGTCATTCAGTTTTTTTTTACCAAGATTTTATGGTTTACTCTGTTGAAAGCTTTTGTAAAGTCAAGTCTGTGTATGTGGACACCTCTTCCAAAGATTCCAAGAAAAAATTTGTAAATGTAAGTAAGTAGGTTTAACTTAGTGGAGTGGAAGGAAAGAATTCCAAATTGATGGTTGATGAAGCAGTTTTTCAAACCAGCCGACAAGTAGTCATCTTGGTAGTCACATACTAAACTCAAGATACTGATGGGACTATAATAACTGACTTGAGAGTTATCTCCTGATTACAGTATGGGAGTAACAAAGCTTGATTTCCAAAAAGTGGAAGTTTTTTTTAGGGGTAGGTAGGTCAAAAATGGTATGAAGTGGTCGATAAAGCTACACTGTTCAATAAAATATGGGCGGAAAGCCGTCGGAGCGCCCAGATTCTAAACCCACGATTCGATAGTATTGTCTATACAGTGTGTATCAGCCAAATGGAATAAATTCGATAATAAATAAATGAGGCACTTTTCGGAAAAACGCTCGAACACGTCAATTTTGTTTTTTTGCTTGGGATTTTTTCACATCAATTTTTTTATACAGGGTGTTCCGAAAACAGCTGTACCGTTATCAACTTTAATTTTTTAAATTCTACTCTCTGTATATTATGACATTTTTGGATTCTGCGAAAAATTCTAGACATATTTTATGTACAATGTCATATACCTATCTTCAACTGTTTCGGAAATATTGACAGTTGAAAATTGACTTTTTTGCATCTTGGACAGACTGTAAAATGTGTTTTTTTTTAAAGATAAAAGTCAAAGTGACATTATGTTGGCAATACAATGTAAAATTGTCAATGCTTTCAAATTTTTATGTAGAAAAGGCTTGTGTTGCCAACATAGTTACTAAATTTTTGACTTGGGGAATTATCTTTAAAAAAAAAACAGACTTTAGAACCTGAACGGTTAATTTTACAGCAGAACCGATCATACATTCTTATCTTAGTTTTTCATAAACTATCATTTGACACCAACTTTGAATTTAATCCATGATTAGAAATTTCGCTTAAATTATTAATCTCCGGTTAAATTCAAAGTTGCTGTCAAATGATAGCTTATGAAAATCTAGGATAGGAATGTGGAAACGGTTTCGCTGTAAAACCAACCGTTTAGCTTTTACAGTCTGTCAAAGATGCAAAAAAGTCAATTTTCAACTGTCAATATTTCCCAAACAGTTGAAGATAGGTATATGACATTGTACATGAAATATGTCTAGAATTTTCCGCAGAATCCAGAAATATTATAGTATACAGGGGATACCATTAAAAAAACTAAAAATGATAATGGTACAGCTGTTTTCGGTACACCCTGTATAAAAAAATTGGTGTGAAAAAATCTCAACCAAAAAAATAAAATTGACTTGTTCGAGCGAATTTATTCCATTTGGCTGATACACACTGTATAAATTAAGATAGACGAAACTATCAAATTGTGGATTCTAAATTCACTTCAACTGTTCATAAATTAATGAGAGCGATATATTTAACTGTAAAAGATTGATGTCCACAGTCTCTATTAGTTATTACTGTACATTTTTGAAAAGTATTCTGCAAACAAACTAATATCTTCTCTCCTAGAACAACTTACAGCTTACATCACCAAAGTGTACAACTGATGGTATACTACTCTTTTCCTTCCTGATATCTATAATTTTCCAAAAATTCTTTACATTATCTTTTAGAGCTCTAAAAACTCAGTTAAAGTTACATAACTTGGGTAACATTCTTTTTTTTTAAGATTTTCACGAAAACCTTTTTGAAGGAACGAAAATATCAACTGTTGATTGAACACTATCATAAAATATGTATATTGACCATATCATTAAGGGATACCTGAGTGGATTCAATTTCGTTTTGAGTGCTTCATGCTTACGGGGTTTCCACCGACGCCGGTTTGTCCTGAGCCCGCATGCTGTTAGGTAGGTTGAAGTCTTGAAGACGCATAGCTTGCAGTCAGGGTATTCTTCAGATAGTCTTTCCACTAAATTCTGTGTATTTTTCGAAGGACCACCTGGGTGGAAAGTAAGCTTTGGCAAGAATTAATTTATTTTTATTTAGTTCGATTTTGACAATCAATTGTTGTTCAATGCTTCTGGTATCTGGCAAAATTCTGCTAGTAATACCATAGATAGTAATAGCTTTACATACTGTCATCAGAACTCCGCCCCCTCTAGTAAAGGACAAAGGTGCTAGTATCAGTGGATCTCTTGTGGTATATATTATAATCAAACATCTGCACTATTCATGTCTTTAGTTATCCATGTTTCATTGAAGACTAAAATGTTATATTGAGAGTATGTCATTCTCAAAAAAAAGTAGAAATTTCGTGCGCAGTCCCCTAACATTCTGAAAATAATTGACATGGAGGAAATGTTGTTTAGATGGAAGGGTCTTATTAGTTTTTTTGTACCAGTTTTGGAATGCCGTTTACGTACTTCAGGATAATATCTGATTCTCTATTTTGTTGTCTAACTCATTTTTAAGAGCACTTACCTCCGTGCGCTGTTCAGTTGTAAAGTCAGCCTACAGCACTATTTGAAGTTTGCGAAAAAGTTTGATTAAAATGTACTATGATGGGTGAATAGAAAATATGCTTGATAAAGACATCAAAATTTGTTTTTTTTTTAAGCTTGGGATCAAAGTCAAAAATTCGTCAAATTCTACATTACTTTGCCCAAAGTGAACACGGTCCCCGCTGAGAATGTTCAATGTGATTTCCAAGAGAAGACTTTGGAGTTGAAGGTGAAAAATTTGGAAAACAAGGACTACGTTTTTAAGGTTACCCAACTCCTTTACGCTATTGAACCAGCAAACAGTACATATAAGGTAACACTGGAGATGAGTTTGTTACTGTTATGTGTAATTGTAAGTTCTTTATTTCTAGGTCAAAAATGATCTGATTCTGATAAATGCAGCTAAAAAAGAAGACATCCATTGGTCTCACGTAACTGAATGGGAAAAGAAAGCCAGCGATAAGAAAATGCCCAGCTTTGATAATGATGACAAATCGGATCCTTCCGCTAGTTTGATGAGCATTATGAGAAACATGTAAGTGATTTGTAATTATATCTGTTACTAATTCTATAATGTCTTTTTATGCTTTTATTGGACAGAAATTGATGGTTAAATAGTGCCTTGATTGACAAGTAAAAATTAAAGTTTCCATCTACTAAATTGTTAGGCTTTTTTCTATCAAGTAGTTGTGAAAGTACTATTCTCACGGCTAATATTGTTATATTAGAAATTTATGTTGGGACTGAAATTATGTAGACAGCACCTAGAATTTAGAATGAATGACTCACAAAACTTTTAGGTCATTAGCTTCTTGACAACAAACTTGGAATTTTACTCTTTAAGTGTTTGTAGTGGATCAAATCTGTCCTGTGGTTTTTAGATGATCAATATAAAATTCAAGTATCTCCTAATCTTCTTTACAAAATTGCAAATGAATACCTTGAATCTTTTTTAAAAAAAGTATATAAATTGATAATCTTCTTGGCAACCTAGGTCAAGAGCAGAACGATAGAATACAACAATAGAAACCAACGGAATCAAGTGTATTATAACTTCTAGAAACTTGTTTCCTGAAATAGCACATATTTGGGGACCATATGTTAGGTACTTAGGTTCAGAGACTCAAATTCTAAAGCTGTAAGAAGTAAGGTCAAATTATGTGGTGATGAAGTGGGCCTCATCTTATACATACATCAGTGCCCCGCTTTATCTGGTACAACATTGCTCCATTCTCCTCTATGGAAATGATACCCAGCTACTGTCTCTTTTTGCTCGGGATTAAGCTTGCTTGCCACTGGAGGAGATTAATGCAGACTTTAATAATTCTACTCATATATTATGGTCTAGAAACCATGGATCTAGATTCAGCAGTTTCCTGGTCATGCATATGACTGGTTTGGTGCTGTGTTCTGGTAAACACTAACAATATAAGAGGCATGGTAAGACTATTCACGAACAATACAATCATAAATTACACATCACGGTCCTTACTAACTGCATACCTAAAAAACAGTTCAAAAACTCAGTTTTATTGTAAAAAGCATTTCTTAACAGATACGATCCAACAGCAGATGTAAAAGCTCTTACTAGCCTAACTGCGATAGGTAGTGTATTAAAAATAAAGGCGCGTAATGCAGGGACCATTAAATCTAAGAACTCTGATCCTAAGGTTATTAAGACTATTATGAGATTAATGTAATGCAATGCAAAGTTCTAAGAACAAAACATATTTTAACTGTGGAAAAGCCAAAAAACAAGAGCCATTTCCTCTGTCTACATAATTTTCTGCTTCCTATATTATCTTCTATTTTGTTTTGTGCGTTTTTCTTTTGGTTTTGATGTGTCGTCTTATATTACTTACTTGTTCTGTATTTATTTTTGCAGACATCATAATCCACATTATAGAGGTAACGTTCATCTCTAGAAAACTTGAAAATTTTAACATTACATTGTAAACAATAAATAGGTATTGAGCAAATGTTGAAATTTCCAATAGTTTTTGATACATTTATTTTATGTGGTCACCTATTTGATTTTCTACGTAGTGAATAGCTTGTGGTGTTTTGTATTATTTTGTACATAGAATACCCAAAAATATAATATTTCACTTGTACATATTTTGTAAGTATTGTTTACTTAAAAAAAGACAGCTTTAAAAATACAAGAAAATTATTGATAACACTTGACATCATACCCTTTTGATTGAGGTTATTACTCACCCTATTTTCACCATTTTTCTATACACTGTTTTTATATAAATGTTTTTGAAAACACTAGTTGGATTTGCAAAACGATTAAAAAATAGCTTGATTGAAACCCACTAATAATTGTCTAAAAAATGTGTCAAAGCACTTCCCACTAGTGTTAATAATTCCAAAGTCAACTGGAACACTCCAAAAGTTTAGAGCTATTTTATGGAATTAGCATTTTGGATAATGTTCCAATAGGCTTTGAATAAAACGATTAATTCAACGAATTGTATAAAAATTCTCATTTGACAGGTACGAGACTGGGGACGACGAAATGAAGCGTACAATAGCAAAAGCCTGGACGGAAAGTCAAGATAAAGGAAAAGGACCAGCATTTTAATTATACTTTTTAAAATTAAATCTTGATGTTTGCATATCGTACTCAGTCTGGGAAACGCCACAAAAAATATTTAAGTAGATTATGATACGATGTAGAAAACTGTGAGTTTTTATTTTTAAGTTTTCCAAGTGATTTTAGGTAAGTTATGATGCCGTTTTTCAGTAGAATCCATGTTCTAAGAATTGTAGAATAGGTTCAAGTATAACGCATATAGCAAAAGCCAATAAGCAATAATCTGATAGGTCGGTTGAAATCAATCAATTTCAAGCGGAGAGTGATATAGCTGTTAAATTAAAAATAAGAGTTAAATGCATGTGTGATTAGTTCTGGCGTTTCCCAGGCTTAATTTAATGGCCCAGTTATATTAGGTGATTGAAGAAATCATGAGTCCAATTGAATGCAAAGAAGCTGGATTTTTACATACAGCTTTGGTTTGGCACTACAAAGTCTCATTATTGCAGTTGCAATTTTAGTACAATTGAAGATTAAACAGTGTCTAAGTTAAGCTCAACTGGTACTTGACTCTCAATGTTTAATAATAATAAAAAAATACAGAATAATTTCCGAGACAAAATCGAAAATTTCCAAATATTTTTTTTTTTTTTGGGCCTACTTGATTAGTCCTTAGCATGTATCAATCCAACTTACTCATTGTGACTAAATACTAAATAAGCTGTACCTACCTGTGGGTTAACAGTTGTTAGGTGAATTAGACTATCATTTCCGGGATTCCTGTGATTTCTGTAACAATAACGTAATATGTCTGCACTGCAAACAAATGGATCATCTGCTCTCAATGACTCTTCAACATAATTTGACAGCTAGAGGTTGATGCGATAGTCCTCAACTATGAAACAGTTGAAGCAAAATATCTAGATTAGCTTTTAATGTGTTAAGAGATATTCTATTATATTCTTGAATAAAGCCATAAAATTAGGTGGTTCTCTCTTCTCAATGCAATAGCAAATATCATTTTGGCTTTCCACAATTCGTACTAGGCTTTATGTATTTCACAATAAGCTGTCATTATTTAGAAAAAAATTGAAAGAATATGAACCCAAATGGCTATCCTTGGTGCTCAAAAACTGTTCCAACAAGTAAGACTTTATCCAAAGCAACATAGCCTTAACTTAGCTCTCTATAATCTGTTTAAATGCTTTGAAGAAATCAGTATATTATTATTATGATGTACAATACATTCACTTAGGAAGTTAATAATTCATAGGGTCACAACAAATTGTTGTTCCGATGGTAGACTACTAAATTATCCGTCCATAAATGTACGTTATTCAATATCTGTTTCTCCAGCTGTTTTGCCATCATTGATCTCGCAATATAGAGATTGAAAGTGTCCTGATCACGAGTTGGATTCTGCTGCTATTTTTATAGTTTTGCTACCAATTTGAGATTTATTTTTAAGTTAATGGAGTTTTTGGGCATATTATTTAATAACTGAAATTGTCAACGTGATACAGCTTTCTTAATAAGATTATGTCTTTACAACAATAAAGCTTATTTTGATTTGATATGCTAGTATCCAGTTCAATTGGATTTTTTCAGCAACCTAATATAATTGGGCTATAAGGAAAAAAAATAATACTGATATAAATAATGCACTTTCTTTCTCTCTTCCTATAAAATAAATAGCAATAATAAGAAGCATCGAATTTATAATAATAATATTTAAAACTTGACCAATAGATGTGTCTGTTTATTATATTTACTGTTTATCACTAAAAAGAAAATTGGCCTCTGATAACATCTTTAACAACACTACAAGCAAATATGTATTTAAGGTGTAATGGCTATATTTTGACTTGTTTTTTGTACCAATAATAATTATATCAGTATTATTTAAATGAATCATATTTAACAGTAAACTTCCTGTTTAAACACCAATTCTATAGATGTTAACTAAAATATAATATTATTAAATATTTTTCTAGCAAGGTATATTTAAGTTCCCTTGAAAATTTATTATAAATGTATAGAATATTCCATTATTTTCTAGTAAATGTTTTCAATGTTTGAATAAATAAAAAAAAAACTGTCCAGAAAACTTCGTTTATTTTGTTCGTTAAAAAGTAAATTCATATAAATAACAGTCATTGGTTCTCTTCTTGAAATATGTCTGAAAAAATGTGCATCACCTAAATTGCCGTCTAGACCCAAAGAATCTGTACTTGGTGCGTCAGGTGTGGATAAAAATCAAAATCAAACTAGGTATACAACTTCCGTTATTCTTTGTTAATTTAGGTCTAAACGCTGATTAACAATGCTACACAAATTTCCATAAATTGCTCTTTTTTATTGCGCTAATTATTTTGTCTAATGGTTTTTACTGTGTATAAAGCTAAACATTGAGCATCTTTTAGAACACAAACATTCAATTAAACGTATTTGATAGAAACTCAAAACTTTTTCCTAAAAAAAATTAAATAAAAAGTCTCTCTAGTTGCACTAAATAAAAATTAATTCTGTTTCAATAAATAAAAATTAATTCTGCTTCAATTAAATAAAAATTAAAGCCCACTTTTAATACCTTGAGATGCGTACAAATTTGAACATTGTGCCAAAAAACACAACAAAATTTGCTCTTCGGCACAATATTCATCTCTCTGTTCCTGTATGAAATTTTACAAACCAATAAGACTGATTTTGGCATATTCTACCAATCAAAATCGGTTTGTAGATTCTCGACAGATAAACCTAAATAATAACCTCCAACAAATAACTACTAATAAAATATTCTGAAAATTATAAAAACTAAAAACTACTATTCGTAAACAACAAATAAATATCTAAGTATAAATTGTATGGCAAATATTTGGTAAGTGTTTTTTTTTGGTATTAACAACAGAAAACATGTAACACCTTTTTTTGGTTTGTGATAAATTCAATTTTTAATTGAAGCATATTTGGTTATATATAAAATTTATTTTAATTTGTCATTGAGATTCAGTGTTAGACTTTAAATGGCTGGTTCTCAAACTTTTCTGCCAAACATTTGTCTAGCGGCCTTCTGTTCAGTCAATTCAGTTGTTTAAATTTGTCTGTTGGTGTAGTTAATAGAATATAAACCAACCGAATGCTTTCCTCAAACATAAATTTATCGTCTTTCCGTTGAAGTAAAATAAAAGGAACCCTTCTATTCTACATAATACATCCAAATATACCTCAAATTGACTCACTTAACCTTATTTAAGACTTACTGGCCTTTAGGGACGTGTAGTCTCTGTATTACGTCGTGTATCGGAGAGTGATTATGACCTGATTTTTGGAAAATTTATTATTTCAATCGAAAACCAATAAAAAAAATCTTACCTATTGAATAAAGTAATTGTCCGTGCATGGTTGTAACACAGCCCTGACAACTCAGCATTTTCTTTTTAACGCATATCCAAAGGCTTTTGTTGTCTCGCTGGTCCACGTAGGTGTACATGTGTCCCTTGTCGATGAGAACAAATTGGCCCCTACCACTTTTTACTATACACAAACCTAGTTAAGATTTTTGGGGGTCAAAATAGAACAGGCAATTTGCTTCTAAATTAATTTTTATTCTAACTACATTATGTAGTTGCTAACACACAACAAATAAATTAAGTTAGTATAGACAAAATACACAGTTTTAACTTAACGAAGTTTGCCACAAAACCTCTTGCAAATTCTCGATAGGAACTTCAGAATCCTCTTCTGGATTAAACGGATCCGGAAATATAGGATGATTGTGTACGCTAGGCCATTTTATGATATTGCCATTCATAGTCCAAGCCACTGAAATGCACTTATCAATGGATCTAGAATTTTTACAATACCAAAACGCTTTGCCTTTGTACACTGACTTCTTGTAGAAGGAATAACCGTCAACAATCAAACGCGGAGTCCCACGACGGCCCAGGATCAGTTGTAAGGTACCTGAACGGATAAAATAATACACAATGGTGTCTCTAACTGCAAACAATAAGGACTCTGGCAAAATGGCAGACTCAATTGAAGCGCATGCAACAGCAAGTCAAATCTCTACTAAACTCAAAAACAATAAATTTTTCTACTTTTAATGCAGGATGGTCAAATGGAATTTAATTATGTAATAATTTAGGACATCAATTTTTGATTGAAGTTCAGAGTATCCTAGTTTCCAATCAAGAGATTGAGACCAAGGAGTTTTATGTAACTGTCAAGAACTCTTTAACTTTTTTTTTAATACCGAGTCTCGTCTTTGATGGCAACAAGATGTTTTAAATATTTTTGGTTGGGCAAAATATAAAGGATTTTAGCCTACTTTTTCTTAACCTGAATAGCCGGTGGGTACCTCTTTATGAAAATGTGTACCAGCTTTGAAGATTTTTGGCGAAAGCGAAACTTTGCTTTTTCTAGTTTAACTCTTCTGGATTTATTAATTAGCTTATTTTGTTTCAATCCTAATTACCAATTTACCAAGAGTTTCTTCTTTTCTCTGAACCTAATGAAGACGAAAAAGAGGACAATGCGTAGCGGTAGAGTAAAATGAGCCTCTAATAGTTGTGCAGCCTTATTTCCAAAAGCGACTGATAAGTGAAAACTTAGTTTTCCTCATTTTTCTCCGTCGCAGTGAAAACAATCTTTTGATCAAAGAAGTGCTTTAGTATAGCTAGTACTCGAGTGTATAATTTTTATTATGAGTTTATACAGGGCAGTCCAACAAGCGCGCCTCTGTCAATAGTAGCCAAACCGTTGAACTTATGGAAAAATGTTCTGATTAAAAAGTTTAGCATTTCATCTCTGCTATATTCCAAAATTATTTTCAAGTATACAGGGTGTTTCAAAAAAGAGTAATCACAAATTTTATGTTTTTTTTTTAATGAAATACCGAATGTTTTTATGTGGCAAATGAAGCATCTATGTGCTCTGTATTCAACTTTAAAATCGTATTTGGGTTGAATGCAGCGTTCCCAAATTATGATTTTTCGAAGAAAAAAATAGACCAAAACTTACTTTTTTGAAATTGTCATATCTTCGCCAGTGTACATTAATTTCCCTTAAAAATTTACATGTAATCTAATGTTAGCCTAGTTGCTCCTACATAAGATTTTCCCTTAACTTTGCACAAAAAACGGTAAAAAGTAAAGTAATTTGGTAGTTTTACCTGGAAAGTTTTTCGAGAGTTTTGAAAATTTTATAGGTTTAGACGTGTTATTTCCGAATTTCTACTTTGCCACCTCGTATTTTTGACACTCGCGCCGCCATATTGGAAAATTTTTATTCTGTAAAAGGAATAGTTTCAGCGTACGAGTGCGACAAACCAACATACAGCTACAACAACACGTGTTTGTCGTATATTATCGCATATTTCACCACGCATTCAAAAACCGGCGTACTAGGGTCTGTTCTTCCTTCGCAGGCATAAAGGAATATAGGACTAGAGCCAAATAGACGAAACCAAATAATATATTTTAGTGATACATGTGATACCTTCATAAATACCAGCAATAAGCATAGTGTAATAAGTAGTTATAGGGGCAAGGACTTTGTGTATGTAAAATTGGATAAATGCTGTGTGTTTTCGTGTTACTTCTCACCAAATGGAAATATAGAGCACTTTGAGGAACTCTTACAAAAAATGGAGACCGAAATGAGGAAAATAAAAAAGGGAATAATCATAGGAGGAGACCTAAATGCAAAAACGCCGGCAATGGGCTCACGAAACAGCAACTTAAGGGGCAGAATTCTAGAGGTCTGGATGGCTGCAAACAGACTCATAGTCTCATAGTAATAAATGAGGAAAGTAAACCAACTTTCAGTAGTGCGCAAGGAACCTCCATGATTGATTTTACGGCAGCAACCGAGGATATCTGTGGACACGTGAAAAGGTGGAAAGTACAACAAGAAAACGAGAACCTGACCGTCCACAACACAATCACTTTTGAGTTTGAGTGGGAGACAAATACAGCCACGACAGGACCATTGAACGGAGGTAAAAGAGGATGGCACGTGGAGGAAATGAGCCTGAAAAACTTTACGAGGGAGTGTAGAGAGATGCTACGAGATGAAATAGATGTCACTCCCGAAATGCTAGTGAATGGGATCATTGAAAAATGCAATGAAAACTTCCGAAAAAGAAACAAGGGATACCGGGGTAGAAACCCAGCGTATCTTGCGTGGAACAGTGACATAGCAACAAAAAGGAACGAATGCATCAAAGAAAGGGTACAAGAGCACGAGCAAGAACTGGAGAGGAGGAAGAAGAAAGGATAAAGGAACAGTACAAGGCAGCAAAACAGGATTTGAGAAGGCTAATAGGAAAGAGCAACCATGACAAATGGAAACAGCTGATAGAGGAACTAGATGAGGACAGCGGATGCTACTGTTGATATGTGAAGAATGCAAATCCCTAATTGCAAGAATGCCTTTTATTATAAGGATGTTGGAATAAATACAAAGAGATGTTGAAGCCCTAAAGACCGCTAGGCCAAAATAATCATATGCAGCAGCAGTAGTACGGAATGAGACAAATAGAGAGGGTGATAGGACATGCCTGCCCACAATCATAATCAAACCTAAAAAAAATCAAAACCCACAGGAGAGTAAGAGTGAAATTCAAAGATCAATTAACCCATCAACACTTAAATTGGGAATAAGAAATATAAAAGAGATAAAACAGGAAAATATAGTTGTGAAATGTGACACTGAACAGGATTTGAAACACTTTAGAAGGGAAGCAGAAGATAAACTAGGAGAAAACTATGAAATGGAGCTACCAAAGAAATATTTGCCCAAAGGTAAAATAGCAGGGTACAGTGGTGGGGAGCCACTGGAAATTATAGAAGAAAAAATTAGGAATCAAAATAAATGGATAAACAGTACTGAAGGGTTGAAAATCACATACATCAAAAGCAAGAAAAATGCTGAAAATTCAACAATTTATGCAGAGTGTTCAGGAACACTTTTCAACAAAATGATAGCGCAGGGAAAGATATATATCAACTGGCAGCGTCTGCCTGTGTACGAAGACTTGACAGTGTCCCCCCGTTGTTTCAGGTGTCAGGGTTTCAATGACAAAAGTGCGGAATGCAAGAAGGAACAAGTTTGTGCCAACTGTGCCGGAAGTCATGAATCTGAGTCCTGTGAAGGTATAATAAGAAAATGCCTCTATGCTTGAAATTTCGGGTTATAGCAGAGATGAAATGCTAAAACTTTTATACAGAACATTTTTCCATAAGTTCAATGGTTTGGCTACTATTGACAGAGGCGCGCTTGTTGGACTACCCTGTATATGTATATATTTATCGATCGATCTATTAACTTTCTACGTCTTCCGATTCTCGATCTTCAACCATTTCTGTCAATCCAGACATCCTTCTCCAAACCTGTCTCTCATTTCCTCGTCCACTCTGCTTTTCCAACTTCTTCTCGTTAGCGTCTTCTTCCCCCTGTCCGAACATCGGTCCGAACCAAATCAATTGTTATTCTTTGATATTATCATCTACTATGGTGTCAATCAATATTCAGGTAACTTTTGCTAGGTATGACTTTCTCGTGAACTAAATATATCAATATACAGAAAAAAATTAAGTAAATAGTACGAGCGGTTTGCAAAAAAAAAGTAACTTTTCTTGTAGAGAGCATGCCGCTCTGCAGGTCTAGTGCAGAGCTTCAAAGAATTAATTTGATCCGAAGCACAACGACTCCCGTGTGGGTTTAAAATGGCGACCTTTGAAGAAATAAATAAAAAATAAAAATATTGTGCCGAGTTTGGTGTTTGGTGTCGTAAAAAATGTCGCGAGATTGCTAGTTTCAGTCCCACAGGTATAAAAAAGAGTAATTTTGATCCTAACGAAACCCTTATGCCATCAACCGTGTAAAATTTTTTTCATTGCTCATAAACCAATGAAATTTGTTATAAATGAAGAAGAGTAACAGGATTCATCAAATAATGAACCTAAAGATCAAATAGAACAAGAAGAACAGTTCTCCACAGAATACCAGATCAAGATCAAACTAATCCAGATTTGGAGATACCAGATCGAACAGATACAAGTCCGGAAATGAACAGTAAAAGAAGACCTAGAAGATCAACCTGAAATAAGAAAACAACTGAGAGAGAGAACAGAGGTAAACAAACCTGTTCATTTTGAGGACTATGTTATGACAGTTGCTGCAGAAATAAGCGAACCACGGGAGCCACTAAGCTACAAAGATGCTATTACTTGCAATGATAAAGACAATGGGATTTTGGCAATGGATAAAGAAATACAGTCACTACAAGAAAATTGTAGTTGGGAGGTTAGTTTAGGTTACCACCAGGAAAGAAGGCAGTACCATGTAAGTGGGTATGTAAAGTGAGAACCAATCCAGATCGGTCCATTGACAAGTACAACAGCTATATCCTGTTCACAATCCTATGTCCACAGGTGCAGGTATATTCATCATCTGTCCCTATCAAATAGCATTGAAAAGTGATAAACTTTACTGGTACCAGTGGTCATCGGATTGTGAACAGATAATAGTTATCAAAGGTTGATCACATAGAAAAAGTGAAGATTACGACCAAACTTACAGTCCTGTAGGCAAGGGAGGAACAATTAGGTCACTCCTCAGTATTAGCAAGAATATGACACTCACTCAGTTCGATGTACGTACTTCATTTCTTTATGAAAAACTAAATAAATAAGTCTATATGAAGCAACCAGAGGGATTGAAGAAGACACACTTCTACTAAGTCTATGCTTCTAATAGCATGTAGATAATGGACTCCTGGCGTCAACCAACGACAAATTGAAGGATTCTTTCTTAGAAAGTTTACGAAGAGAACCAGCTTCTTATTTTTTGGGTTTAGAAATTAGAAGAACCGAAAATGGTGCAGTAGAACCCGAACAGCTTGTACAAGAGGAGGTTATTAAAGGATGTTCTTACTGATCTGGAGAAAAAAAAAGGCTGAGGGTAAAACAAATTTAATTATAAAATACATAAATGGAGCACCTGAAATTGTCGAGAAAATTGAAATAAAATAAATTTGTCTGGGATGGTTGAAGTTATATTTTGGTATAGTAATTTAAGTTCGGTAGTTAATAAAATTGATGAATGGAAAGCAAGAGTTATGTCATCAAATCCCACATATATATAACTTACAGAAACTTGACTGCAAGGAAGCATGTGTAATAGCTTGATTAATTTAGATGGGTATACTACATACCGTCCAGACCGGCAAACCCAAAAAGGTGGGGGTGTGTCCAAATAGGAAGTATGAAAATATCCCTTGCATGCATTGCACTTGCCAGATTCTACGACCAGTGAGGAAGCCAATACACTTATGACAAATACTATAAAAGAGGCCTACACCCGAGACCACCCTACTTATATTATGGGAGACTTCAATTACCCAAACATAAATTGGGAAAACCATATAATTGCACCTCTAGATAAAAAAAACACAGGAATCACCCCACTTATATTGTAGGAGACTTCAACTACCCAAACATAGATTGGTAAAACCATATAATTGCACCTCCAGACAAAAAAACACAGGAATTTACGGAAATGTATCTTGAAACAAATGTGCATCAAATTGTGCATTTTCCAAGAAAGTACAGGAATAATCAGATATCACTTCTAGACTTTTTTCTCACTAATGATCCTGAAAGTATCTTTGATCTTTCTACAGAACTTCCCATTGGCCACATTTAAAAATTCCACCCAAATGAAAAAAATAAGTAAAAGAAATTTTCTAACTGCCAATAATGAGGAAATAAATAATTTCATCAGCCTCCAACCAACAAGACAACAAGACAAGTAGATCCACAATTTGAGAACTTTCAGTGTGTAGATGAGAAATACAGTGGAGAAATACATACCGGTCAAGCCAGTAAAAACTAACGCACAAAAAATAAATCAATATTTATTCAGATTCAGAATAAATAAGAAACGTAGATTCTGGGATAACTATAAAACAAATAAAACACTGAACAATTACCAAGCTTACATGTTACAGAGTAACAAAACTAAGCAGAAGGTGCTTGATGCCCGAAGAAAGCATGAAAATGGTCTTGCGAATACGGATTCACCAAAAAAACTGTTCATAAGTCGAAACTTGAATTCCAGGGTATCAACCATAACTTTAAAAGATTCTGCATTTGAGCAGTTTTTAGATGGTGTAGCCATGGCAGAGAAATTTGCAAAGCAATTTGACAGAGCTTTTACAACTGAAGCTTATCCGGCTCCAGCCCTGCATGACAATAGAGTGGAGAGGTCTATCAAAGAAATACAATTTACAACTGATAAAGTAGAACAAGCTCTGAAATGTATGGAAAAATACTCAAGCCCAGGACCTGATGAAATCCCAATTTTTTTTCTTCAGAACTCTAGTGCCACAATTAGCCCATTGCTTACAGTGGTGATACAGGAATGTATGCTCCAAATAAAAATTCCGGCACCTTGAAAATACTCCATTGTCACGCCACTGTACAAAAAATGAGATCGACATAGACCAGAAAATTATCGCCCTATTAGTCTTACTTGTAACCCGCTGAAATGCATAGAGGAAATTATAGTTGAGGAACTAATATCTTTCTTTCTAGAGAACAATCTCATACTTTCAGCCCAACATGGATTTCTACCAAAACGTTCTACCACTTTCAATCTTTTGGAATGTCTAAATGATTGGACAAACAACCATGACAATGGCCTACCAACAGATGTTATCTATTTAGATTATGAAAAAGCATTTGACAAAGTCCCACATAACCTGTTATAAGTGAAATTAGAGCATTATGGAGTTAGAGGAAAGTTGCTTGCCTTGATTAGGGATCTGCTGGATGATAGATTTTTTCAAGTGAGAGCTTTCCAGTCCCCATAGGGTAACCAGTGGCGTCGTGCAGGGTTCGGTGATTGGTCCAGTGCTGTTCATAGCGTATCTTTTTGATTTGGTGGAACTAATCCAATCAAGTGTTAAATTGTTTGCAGATGATTGCAAAATCTATGCAAATCTATTGATAGATGCGAATTTAGTTCAAACTGATCTTAGGAACATTGAAGAGTGGTCAAAAACATGGGGAATGAAATTGAACTCCTCAAAATGCACAGTACTAAGGATTGGCCCAAATAACCCTAACAAAGACTATATTCTTAATGACTGCTTTGACAACACTAAATGAACAAAATGATCTGGGAGTTGTAGTAACAACCGACTTGAAATGGAAGAATCACATGATTGAAATAACTAAAAAAGCTAACTCCTACGTATACTTAATTAACCATGC